AGTCTTGACATTATAAACCTAAAGTAAAGCAAAATCATGCTAGTAAGTGCATGAATGGAAAAACTCCGATCTCATCAAGCCACAAGCATACTCAAGGATGTTGTACATCCCTAAGGCATGGTTCTTTAGCTGAAAAATGTCCCAACAACGAGGGTGAGTAAACAAGTTTACTTGTAGAAAATTATCATGCTAGAAAATTAAAATGCGTATCACCTAAAGTTTTGCAAGTCTTTACAAGTTGATATAAATCAATCCATGTGGATCATGCCACTTAACGTCTATGTCCAAGGTGAGATTAAGGGATCATCCTAAGGTATACTAAAACATCCACATCATAAACCATAATGTAAAAGCAATTAAACAACATTGTAACCTCAAATATCAAATAATGAGATATATAAATTCACAAAGTACACAACTTGGAATTTAAATGCGAAATCAGACAAGTGGAATCTTGGACGTCACGCCGGAATGAAACCGACACCAAGCATCATTTTGGTTACTAGCTCGTGGGTGCTTGCCCCTAAGTGCGCATTAAAATAGAGGGCTCTCAAATCCCCCATACTAGAGCCGAGCCCTAGCCATAGTCAAATTTACGACATCCTCAAGCTTCCAAAATCAATAAATAGTGCACAACAAGTATATACACATATACTAAATGCACTTAATCAAATATTATACACAATCAAATTGTGAAAACACGCAAGACATGCCCTAGGTCCTCAACTACCATGGCATGTAACATATTAGGCCTTAAAAACATCAAAGGTACCAACAAATCATTGTTTCATTAAATGAAAGCTTGTAAAATAAAAATTAATAAATTCCTCTACATTGCAAAACATCATCAAATGACATGAAATTAACACATAATAATCAATATATCATGAAGAACTCAAATATCAAGTCAAAAGTCTAATTAAGCCACTAAAAACACATAATTAATTTTTAATTAACTTAATTAATTAAAAATCTCTAGATTTCAAAAGTCATCCAAAAATTCTAAAAATAATATATGATGAACTACAAGTCACGGGCTCTTCAAATATCATATTATTAATTAAATCTAAGCATGATGGTTGTGTGCTATTTTATATGGTTTGTGTGCATATATGTATAATTGTGGTAAAATAATTAAAAGGAAAATGATATTTTTAAAGTGGTGGACCCCACCACTAGTATTTTTGGTGGTCAAGAGGCATTGTTTGGCCTCATTCTTTTATCCCTCACCCGGCACTCTATATCTCTCTCATTTTCACTTCATTTTTCTTTTTTCTTCTTGGAAGCAAACTTTAATATCAAATTTCTTTCTCACCTTTTGGAGTTTTTTGGATGCCGTTTGCGGCAAATTGAAGAGCACGTCGAGATCTACGATTTGATCGGAGCAATTCCTTGTTTAGTGCACTTGGAAATTCTGAAAATTCTAGGGATTTTGGGGGGTTTTTCATCATTTTAATAGTAGGGGTCTCTAATTCCCAATTTCTTGTTCCTTTGTGAATTTTCTTTCAATATTTGTTGTCAAGCATGCTTAATTTGAGTTGATTGCCTTGAAAATGATATTCTTGTTGTAGATGAAATCTATGATTATGTGTATTAATTAAATTGAATGAAAAGTATGTCTAAATGTTAATTTCCATGCCATGGTGTTTAATATCTTACTAGAAATTGCTATGTGGAAGTATGTTAAATTGTGTAATAGAAATTCTTTTATTTTTATAGTAATGTCAAAGTATCTGACATGCATTCAAAGCATTAGGCATGGAAAAAGGGCAAAATGATTTGAAGTGAATAAAAAAGGGGTTTTTGGGTAAAGTTTTGATTAAAGTGATTTTATGAAAAATCCGGTCGTCGCGGAGTCACCAAATAGCCATGGTGTTAATATAATCTAGAGGGAACCAGGAAAATTACCCTAACATGGTTGAGCTATCTGGGCTCCAAATGACGCCGCGGAGGTACAAAGGGTCAAGGACAATAGTCAATCCTTCTCTCGTGTCGCTGCAGAGTCACCAAAGGACGAGTTATGTTAACAGTTTGAAAAGTGGAGAATGAAAGTGATTTTGAAAATGGGGAGCGACATAGCATGACATTACATTTCATGGCACAACAACATTTGTTTTGAACTTAAAGTTGATGTTGTATTTTTCCCTGACATAGCATGATCCCGTTCTTTATTGTTCTATTCAATATTTGGATTCACGGAGTCACAAGAGGTGTGTCTTAGGCATCACTTACTGAGTAATTTGCTCACCCCTTTATATTTAACATTTTTCAGGACACGAAAAAAAAAGTAAAGGACGACAATCCACCCCAGCTTTTGTATTTGGGCCTAATTTTGTAAAGTGATGACTCAAAATGTATTATTTTGCAACCTGTGAAGTATTTAGATTCATTTTGTGTATGGCCATTGGGGAATGTAATTAAGTTTAACTGCACTTAATCCTTTAGTGTATTTTTATGTAACATGTTGTGATTCATGTTAACAATGTAGTTGTTGTTTTTGTATTAGGTGTTGAAATGTATTTAAATATGTACGCGGGTATAGTGGTGTTGGGTGATTGGTTATCAAAGTTGGCGTATCTCGATTTTCTTTGGACAGTGGCATTTTAAGTGTGGATAGCCCAACCAGTCGACATGAAATCCCATACGTCAACCGAATGACCTGAACCAGTCGACGTGAATTTCTCACACGTCGACCGGTATCTTGGCAGAGAGCTTTTCCATTGTACACGTCTCAAACCAGTTGACGTATAATGAATACACGTTGATCGGTTCCTGTTCCATGTATTTTTCATTTTGTTTCCCTAATTATTCTTTACCACCTTTAAAGTTATGAGTATTTATTTTATGACCCAAATAAAATACATTAATTATATTTTAATTACGGAAATGATTATTTGGCCCCGAATTTTACCTTAATTATTATGTGACACTAGTAAATGACTATTACGCCCTTTGAGTCTTAAACCATTAGAATTGTGACAATGACCATTTTGCCCTTGTTGAACTTTAAAAATATAAATTTAACGTGAAAGGACCGTGTTACCCTTGGATGATTTTGGGTCGGGTAAGGACCTGATTAATGATCCGGATCCAGTGGATTTGGGTCGTTACAAATGTATTTTATATATGTTAGTCTAAATAGAAGGCCTATGAAGCTTATATCATACACAATCTCAAAATAAGTTGGAGTAAAGGAAAAGAGTTTTGAAAAAAAAATGTTTTTCAAACCATTGAGTTTGAATGTATGAGTTTTGTACTTTCAGTTGATCGGACGGAGATAAATACATAAATTGATGTAGAGAAGTGTAACATTCAAGAATATATAGATTTGATATCTGGGCTTAGCTGAATCCCGAAAATAGTGCTGCCATTTGTCTTCCATTTGCACGTGAGAAATGCTTCAACTATCTTCAAGAAGCGATTACGCGCCTCTAAGCCTTGATAAATCACTATTTTAATATATTGTTCTAACAGCGGTAAACATTACCAAACGACCGTTTAACTTACATCTAACCAAAATTTGTATTTCTAAATCATATATGCTGTCTCATTTCTAATTTTCTGCCATATATACCAACTTAAACTAAGGTTGGATATAAAATTTTCAATCTAAGAGTTTTTCAAATACATCCATATTAAGCTAATATAGTAAACATAAAAGAATAGTCAAAGCTAACCTATAAGACCAGTCGGGCTAATAATAGTAAAAGTCAAACATGGCCTTCCAAAGTTGACTAGTAAATGTATACATTCTCATTAATTTTTTTTAATATTTCATTTAGTTGATAAGAGGAAAACAAAAATATAGAAACCATAACAAATACTACAAAAATGACGATTAAACCTTAATCGTGACTCTAACTCTTCCATCCCACTATATTATTGCTCTCTCCCATTTTATACACAACTCTTCTCCATTTCACCCTCTCACAAAACTTGAATTCTTCTGAGTACTACGAACATTGTGCACCTTTTCGGTGTGGCAACATAACATTTACCTACCCCTTTTTCTCCTCCGTCACCTTTGGCGACACCTTCAACCCCCGTCACTATGATTGTGGCCTCTTGCGCTTACAAATCTCCTCTTCTTTTATTTTTATTTTTATTTTTATTTTATCACAAACCCATCCAGGAAAAATAAAATAAAATAAAAATAAAATAAAATAAAAAAATTTCCTCCGACCCCACCTTCTCCCTCCCCAGCCTCGACCACTCCAGTTGCTTGTGTGAGATATAAAATTGTAATTGGCATATTTCGGTGAACAAAACGAAGTCCAAAGTGAGTTGTAATTTTCTATTTATTTGAGTCTCGGTTTCGGAAATGGAAAATTCAAGTGAAGCTACTCACGACAACTTCAGTTTGACAATGGACAACAATTGGTCAAGGTAAGTGTGTCAGGTTCACTTAGAATAGGTTTGAAGTTGGAAAAGAGCACTTAGAGTTTTTCACAAGTTGAATAGGCTGCATTTCATTTAGAATTGGTTGCATATTTTGCTAGGAATAGGTCTCAAGATTTTTTGAACTGTTTCTATTTTCTGCACAAAACTGCACTCGGGAAAAATAGAACTAGTTGCATTTTAAATAGAACCGGTTGCACTTCTCTAAACCAAAAAAGAAAGTTCTTATTTTTACCAACTTCTATTACCTTTTAAGTTTGAATTAGAGAGGTCTTAGCACGACATTCAAGAGATTTTCTAACCCTAAAAGGACTTTCTAATTCTCTATATAAACTTACATTTACATACAATTAATCACGGTTTTTGCATTGAAGATTTCAAATCCCTAGAGAGTCTTTTTGTGTGAGTTTCAGAGTTTATTACTTTTTTTGTTTTTGAGAGCACACACCTATACACTTGAGTGATTAGCTTGTTGTTCACCGTTCGATCAGGAGTTACGTGATTAAAGATTCTATATCTATTGGTCATAAAGGCGAATTTATCTTCAACTTTATAAATTCTGACTTTGAAGAAAATGAGGAGAATAGCACACTTTGAAGGGATCAAAACATTCGTGGAGTGTTGGTTGATCTATTAGCGATCCTTCTACGGAGATTAAGAGTAAGCCTGAGGTCAAGAGCTGTTAGACAGGAGAATTGCAAAGTCAGGGATTGTCAGCAATTGATTTTTGGTAGAACGACAGGGTGTGAGCTTGAGTTAGAGTCAACTGTACTTTGCTTCAAACATAGTGAATCTTTTTGCTCAGGATTTTGTAAGTCCTCAAGGTTTTTTCCAGCATGATTAGTCTATTCAGTCAATTAGGGTTTTCTCACTAAAGATCCAATGTCACTCTAAACTCACTTTTTTACTTTACTTGCACTTTTTTATTTATTATTATTTCTTTATGAGTGTTTAATTTACTTTTATTTCGGTAAATTTAAATTAATCAAAAATCGGATAAAATAGTAAGTTGAACATATTCAACCCTTTAGGTTGATTATCCATATTATATTTCATAACCATTCTGCATTATGCAACTTATAGCTTCTACCGTGTCCTTGACCTCTACCATTTAGATATGAGACATAGTACGATATCATATGAACACGACAATACTACAAATCTAAAAACAAATTGATGATTGGCTGTACATTTATAGACTTCATTCTTAAACTGCATAACCTTTGGTGCAACCCTCAACAATCTGTCTAATGCATGAGGGGAGAATTTCCTTGCAAACAAGAAGCAAACACTCGTAGTGTGTCCATTGTATTCACATTTTCTCTCACTCCTCATCTTCTCCAAGAACTCCATGGTCACATCTGCTCTCATAAATGTAGCCGGATGGATCCCACCTCTCGACCAGTCAACTTGAGTTAGACTTCTGTTTGAATTCTTCTCCCAGAACATTATGCTCACAAATGTAGGTAAGTAGTGTTCATCAGCACAACATAAATGCTTGTAATAGTTCTGATATAATGGAAAATACTTCTTATCAGAGATGATCTTTATGGCAAGGTCTCGATCCATCTCGAACCATTGTGACCCTTTTCTCCATTGTGATCCATCTCGCCCACGGCTAACTGATCTCGGTAGAACTTTGGTATCTACAAAATTTTTGGTGGAGTTGATAAGGTAAGAGTAAATGGTGGTGAAGTTGAATAGAGGAATGCATGATTCGGAAAGAAAAACGAATCGTTGGTTTGAGATGTCAAGAAGAGCATTGGCTAGTAGGCGACACTCTGCTTCTATCATGTTCATCTTTCCCCATTCGACTCCCTGCATCGTATAGTAGAATTGTATAAGATATGGTTCATTAACTAATAAAATGTGACATAATATATAATATTATATATATATATATATATATAATGTGACACTATATATGCATGTATCTATGTATGTATCTACATCATATTGTCACGAGTAACTTCAACTTTGGTTTTATGGTTGTTATACGATGTGTTATGAAAGCAACTTGTTTAATGACATATCTAGGGGAGGGCTAACGCCCCCCCCCCCCCCCCCCCCCCAAAAAAAATAAAAAAAAATAAAATAAAATAAATAAATAAATAAATAATTTATTATTATTAGTATTAGCCCACCCAAACAAGCCCAAGTCAGTTAAGCCACAATACTAAAATAAAGGCCCAAGTCAAAAAAGCCCTAATAAAAAAAAAAAAAAAAAATTGCTTAAGAAATTGTGTTACTAAATTTATGTTTAATTTTAGTCCATCCCATTGACAATTTCTAGATCCGCCATTGAACTTGTTCATGTTGAGTTTCTTTGTTAGTTGAACAGTTGTTTCAATTGTAGATTGTCCGCCATTCCCAACTCTAAGATCAAACGTACAGGTAGTTTTTTCAAATTATGAGAATTCATAAAAGATACTACTTAGGTCTTCACTAGTAAGGATCTACAACATACTCACCGTTAATGTGGACCAATAATAAATGAACACATCCAATTTTAATTACCAAATTATAAATGTTTTATTGGTCCACATCAATGATAAATATGTTGTAAATTGTCACTACTGAGGACCTAAGTATTGTCTATTCATAAATGAAGAAGAATCTTCCCCATAAATTAAGGCCTCCACCAAAGTGCAATTTTGTGACCGACTTATAATGTTTAGAAAGGTAAATGAATATGTTAAAGTTGTTTTCAAATTTTAATTCCAAAGTCTAAACAATAATGATAAAGTCTCTGCAATTTCTTTATAGTACGAAAGCTAAGAGAAAAAAACCATCCCTTAATACTCAGTATATGCTTTACATGAGAGCCTGCAAAAATCTTTATAATTACACTTCATTCACTAATTTAATTAATTGGGGAAAATAAGATTCAAAGTCAAATTAAAAAAAAAAAAATGATTACTTTTTAATAAACTCAAGTGTTTAATTCTCGCTGACCACTGATGTTTGTTTTGACAGAAAATACCGAACGAACTGTGATACCCCTGGATTCCCGGATGCGGGTTGGCCAGGCCCACGCCCGATTACCCGACGATATCAAATCAATTAGCAATAATCGAACACAGAATACAAATAAGAAAACAAGAATAAATAAATAGCTGAAAAGAAACTAGAATAATAATCCAAAAACCTCAGAATAAAATTTAATTTTAAAAAAAATGATTCTGATACATCCAACTTCTCCATTTCTATTACAACTCAGGAATCCATCCAGTGGACCCCTAAAATACCTCACTGAACTCAAAAGATTGGAAGTCTAAAATATGAAATAAAACCCTGGTCATCGGTGGAGTGAATAACTGTATCTGCTCAGCACGATCCAGCTCCAAGTCTGAAACTAACAAACACCTGTAAAAATAAGAGTGGGTCAGGCCCACATGCAAATTCTTCTCTAACTACAATCCAAACAGTGACTCGATACGCAGATACACCCTAGATATCTCAACAATAGCTATCTAGTCCATACATATATATATATCCACACTAAGGGACATTCACTGGACTACAGTAGGGGTCTCAACCTGAATAGAAGACAACATGCGAAAACGCACCCAAAGGTGGGCATGAGTACCTAGACCTAACAGGGTACACCTCAACCTACTATAGCCAGCTACGCATCCACTGCATATACGCACCCTAACCAACGAGTCTGAGGCTCAAGCTCATCTCGCGGTACCATAAACATATATATAAAGTCCGTCCAAAACCAGGGTATGTAGTTCAAATATTTATTGAACTGACATACAATAAATAAGCTAGTTAGTCTATCAACTTATTCAGTTGATATGACTTAACTATCATCCATTAATCCAGGAAGCCACTCAACTTAGTTGCAGTTGATTTGACTTAACACAATTAGGATTCAATATTTTAAAATCCATTCCTTTAATCCATTAGGTTAGATTTAGGCGTTTTGAGCTAAACCGTCCCCTAATATGTCACCATCCCATACCGGTGCATACAATCCACCATATCCATGTAATTGACAGAATATATTTATTCAGCAATTTAAATCCAAAACCATGTAAAAATTACAGACTATCAATAATAGTACAACAATTTAATAACTAAAACCAAAAGCCAGGTAATTGCAGAATAGTTTATACAACACTACAGCAATTACAGTTCAAAACCATAATCCAATTACTTGTATGATAATATCTAGATCCCACAATTAACATCCAAACCATGTAAATTACAACCTATAAATAACAGTATAGCAATTTACAATCTAAACCATCCCAAATAATTACAGAAGACTATTTATAGTTTCAGCAATTTAAATCCAAGAGTTAAACCATATAGTTGCAGGAAACAATTAATAATTCGGCAACTACCATCCAGAGCATACATAGATCAAATCTAATATCAATGACTCTATCAAGCGTTAAAATAAATTCTATAATTATATTATAGTCCAATAAATCGCTACATTAATTTAAGCAATTTAATTCCTTTCATCCGGTAACAGCGTACTAAGTTGTATACTTGTATTCTGTTTTATCTTTTAACACAGAGCCATGCCCTATGCCCCAAGTCCAATTTATTAATTTAAAAGACTTCACTGTGCTTTTAATCTTAATTTAGAATCATTATATAGCACCCAAAGTTGTCAAATTAAAACTAGACAACAAATCTCCTTTCAGCCGTTAACCGTACGCACAGTTGTTAAATTAGGGCACTGTTAATTTCATTCACTTAGAGGTCAACTTTACTCAATTTGAGGACTTAATAACACTCACATCCAACCTTCTAATCCCTCCGTAAAACCCCAGAGTCAATAGAAATGTTCCCATGCTCCAACAGTATCCAAACAGTTCGTAAATTTTTTTTTTCAGAAAATTACTATTTGGAAGAGCCTGCTCTAAATTCCAAGAGCAAGCTCTTTTTTTTGAGCCTGGAGCCGGCTCTAAGAATGTTGAGCCGGCTCAATGAGTATGGGAGCCGGCTCCCACATCCATGGAGTCGGCTCTCACCTCCTTTGAGAACCCCTGTCCCCGTTCTGCTCCGTTTTGACTTTCTGCTTCTTCTCCGGCATGTTTCTGCCATTTAGTTGGTTTCAAAAACTTATCCTAAGGTCTAATTAATACCAAAACAGACTCCCAATGGTTTTAGAACAATAATTTGAAATCAATTACAGAGATTAAACAAAGCCATTAAACCAATATGTTTGAAGAACAACACTGAAACTAATTTAATAAATTTCAGTTCTCTTCCAAACCCTCTGTTCCTCTTCACCACTGAACCTAAGGATCCTATATAAATCCCTATGACATCCCCATGGTTCGTTTGCAGTAGATGAAATAAATTACAAAGTCTAAAGTTACAACAGAGCAACATGCTTAAAGAACTGAAAATTGAAACGAGACATGTAGAAATTGTAACATTTTGATTTCAACACAACCAGATCATTAATATAACATATATTGAACATGTAAATTCCAGTTACTGATTGATTAAACCCTAGAGATTATCTAGGTGCACAGAACACGAGCCAAAGGGAAGAAGAAAGTAGAAGAACTTGCCTTTCGATTTCGAATTGAAACCTTTCAACGTCGTCTTCTTCCTAAACTTTCCGGCGATCGTGACCGCCGTCAAGGATTCCTCTGCTCCGGTTCTAACCCTCAAAGATCTCTCAAGCTTCCTCCTTAGTTCGGCTTACAATCCTTGGCTCAAACCCTACCTTCCTCTCCTTTAGTTTTTCCCTTAAACTCTCTGTTTCACTCTCTGTATTTTCACTATTCGTGAATAAGGTTTGTGCTTACAACCCTAAGCAGACCCTTATTGTTTTATTTATAGGTTTAGGAAAAGATATTAACCCTAACTCTTCTTTAATCGTAGAGACGGAAATCAACAATTCCTTACATCTCTAAGGCGGCTTAATTAAACAAGGCGGCTTTAATCAAACGTGATGGTAAAGAGACAAAACCCTAATAAATTAACCTATTTAATTAAATAAAATAAAAAAAAATCAATTATTCACTCAATTAAAACCCCAATTAAGTTACATAAAATAATTAACCAACAAAATAATTCAAAAACAACCCAAATGATAATTAAAGACTAAACAATTAAATAAAATAAAGAACGAACAAATAATTTAATCAATTAAACCTAAACACATATCCACATAAACATATAAAACACTTAAAATAAATAGTAAAATCCCAATTATATACTTTTTAATTTTAGGGGTATTACATTCTTCCCCCCTAACAAACGGAATTCCGTCCTCGGAATTCATGAAACTCTGAATTTTTCTCATTAACATTCATTATCGTTCCATCGTGGACGCTGCTGTTGCGTAGGAGCTCCACTAAATTCTAAAACTTCCCAGAACCATCTACGGGTCCCATATAAAGAAAACACAAAATTATTCAATATATATATTGGAGTTAGCAACAACTGACCTTCCCTGACAACACACCTTGCCTCCTATGCAAACCTCCTGGTGCCATCAAGATGAGAAATGAAGTAAACACTTCCAACTTCCCATAAAACCTAGGATATCTATCTCAAGTATCTCCTCCATGATCGAATATACATTCTTGATCTAATCTCCCGTTGAGAGATATGAAACACGGTTATACCTCCATTAACAGTGCAATGTAGAACTAATACAAAGTCTAAAAGTGAACAGCACGAGAATTAGGTCTAGTAGAAAACTCGCTCAATCCACTACTCTTAATCCACATGGAATTAAAATTCCAATAGATATCGACAAGTTCGACCAACCACCCACTCCTGATTAGTCTTACTCCCACTTTTATTTAGGCAGTGGCAAAAGTCTCCAATGAGCGCCGGTT